GTTGTGGCAAGTTTTCGTTGCTCTTATTCTATTTCTCTCCCTTTTTATTGCAGCTTCGTAAAGCTCAAGATGAAATAGGCGAATTACAGACCGTTAACGATCACCTTCAGAAGAGATTCGATAAACTAAAGAGCAAAAGAAAAGATGACACGTAGTGCATGTAGAAATAGTTTTGTTACTAATTCAGGGAACATTTGTATGTCGAATTCAATGAACAGAACCGACATATCCAGTTTGATCTGAGGCGAACAGGCCTGTTTGTGCAATAAAACAACATCGGTCGTTATCACTTCCCGATGAGTTTTGCCGTCATTAACTGTCACTGTCATTGTTATAGTTTGTCTGATTGGCTGGAAATAGTTAACAAAGTGCCTCAGAAGGTTAACAAAATAGCAGAGACAGTGATTGATGAAAAATGACACCTGAGAGTACCATAGAAGATAATTTTATATGCGCGAGGTTATTTTATATTTTCCAACGTGAGATAGACGCATTTTCGTAAGGGAATGTTTAATAACTCGAGGGAATGGTGTGGAAAACGTAATGCCGTTTGTGGCTTACTTACTTATGACTTGCAGACCATATTAGTAGATATGAAGCTATTTTTCCACAAATAGTTTCCTTTCAGTTAAATAGGAACACATAATGCCTTTTGACCTGGCTTTAACAGCATTTTGATCGCTTTCAATGCGTAGTAGTCAATAAACCTGGTATTCAAGCCAAAGTACGGAGTGGAAATTATTTTTACAGGAAAAAAATTGTTGTTTACTTAGTGATTAGTAATTGTTAATGAAGGGAAATTTAAAGGTTTTCTGAGTATAACCGTTTTGCTTCTAGGAATTTTAAACACGTAGTTTTCTTCGATAGAATCAATACATTGTTTCATTGCTGAGCAACAGGAGACGAAAATGCACAAACTTATCGGCTGGAACTGCACTTGATATGACACCAAATTCTCTTAGCTAATTGAAATGAAATGATTCGCGACTAGCGGGGAGTAA